AAAACTACAAATCCAAGAATTCCATAGCACTGAGCCATGGCAGTTGAAGTGGTGTCAAACTGCATTATTTCTGCAGTGCAGATTAGACCTGATTATTTTTTTAAAGTTTAAAAATGTGCCAGGGAAACAAAAGAAAAATGTAATGCTGCCCTTAAAAAACTTCTTCCTCAGCAGCCAGTGGGTTACCAAAAGCCTAGCTGAAAAAAAGTCTTTAGTGATGATGAAAAGACACTAGAGACAGGAGATAGAGAGATGAAGCTGCTTGAAAGGCCGTTCAACAGTCTGGGAGCAATTCACTGGAAAGGCCCTCTCATGTATCCTCAACAAACATGCCTGTGAGTCCATGCCAGCAGATGGCTTGCATGCCAGAGGTGTGAATCTACTCCAGGTTTTGGTTTAAACTTGAATGGAACCATCCAAGGTGCTGAACTTATTTGGGAGTTGGAGTTCAACATGCTGGGTAACTTTTGCAAGTTCATACCAAAGCCTAGAGTGGATTCTCTAGTCTAGCCCATTGTCATGGAAGCAACCAGCTACCAGGATGTAAGAAAATGGCCTCCCCTGAAGAGCTTAAATAAAACATGCCACACCAGTGGCATGCTCATTTGGGGAATAAAGGGCAGGTTGCATGGCACACAGCTCTTGCTCTTCCAATACTTTGCTGCCACCCCCAGTATTGGCTGCCAAAGGTCTTGCTCTTATGCGCTTATGCTGATGTCCCATATAGTATGAGACTCTTCCTCTCCAAGCAGCAGCATGTGATGACTTTTCAACCTGTTCTTATAGCACTCAGTTATGCAGTTACTGTCCTCAACTAGATATGAATACAGTGCACAGATAACATCAAAACTACAACCAGCAAAAGGTGGTTTGCCTTACAAATCAGTAAAGGCTACTCAGGGGTAGGCAACCTTTCCCCTTTAAGGGCCAAGGGACTTCAGCTCCCAGAATCCCAGGAGCTATTGGCCAACATGGGACTATTGGCCAAAATGGCTGAGGCTTCTGGGAGCTGAAGTCCCTCGGTCCTTAAAGGGGAAAGGTTGCCTACCCCTGGGCTACATAATATAATTACTCCCATTTCTTGGTAGGTTTTTCAGGTATGGTACAAAGGTTATTGTTGCCTTTATAAAGCCCCAAATGGTTTCAGTCCTAGTGGCCTAAGAGATTGCCTTCACCCATATTATTATTGTTATTATTATTATCCCTTCTTTGTCCCAAAATTAGAACTCAGGGTGGCTAACTGGAACTCAAGGCAGCTGTATACTCGGTAGGGATATTTGGTATCTATATTAAGCAAAGTACACCAGGCCTAGTGCAGCATTAGGTGTAGTAGAAACAGGAGAAATGACTCTGGATGCTTTTGCAAAGGGATCTTGTAGCACCTTTGAGACTAACTAAGCAAAAGTCTTAGGGCCTTTGCAGACTGCCAGAAATAGTGCACATTAAATTGAGGCCTTGCCCTGGCTCAGTGATAGGGAATAATGGGAACTGTAATATATCGTGGCACCAGAGCTCTCTGACAGAGAAGGCTCAATGTCTCAGAAAAAAATACAATTCCCATGACTCCCTAGCACTGAGCCAGGGCAGTGCCTCAATTTCATGTGCACTATTTCTGGCAGTCTGCAAAGGCCTTTAGTCTTTTGCTTAGTCTCAAAGGTGCTCTAAGATCTCTTTGCATACTGATATTCCAGAATAACATGGCTATGTCTGTGGAATCTGGATGCTCTTGTATACTAAAAAAAAAGAAGAAGAAGAAGAAGAAGAAGAGAAAAACTTAAATTTGTTATCTCAGGAAATCCATCCCAGCTTAGTAAAGGAGAGAGGCAAAGAAATTGACCTATACTTGATTAGAAGAACCCTAAAACCTAGCTTTTATGTGTAACTGTAAGCTAGCATCCATTGTTGGGGCTGGAGCCCCATGAATGCTCCTTCTAGACAAAAAGAAACAGAGAGATAAGGGGGAAGTGATGTCTGCAGGTAAAAGGGAAGCAAATGGTTTGAGCACACATAGACCAAAAACAAATACAGAGATGTGAAAACAAAGGGTAGGCATTATCTAGATTCCCCTCTCTCACTAATCGCTTTATACAAGTGTCGATGCCTCTGCTTCCAAACTCATGTCCTCTGGGGCACAACTGCTTCAAGCGGCCAAAGTTAAGTTAATTGTTACCAAGCAAACATTTTCTTTGGCCACCCCCAAATTGTGGAATGACCTGCAAGAAGAGATTGGTTAGATGGATATGTTGTCTGAGTTAAAACAGCAGTCTCTTCCAGCAGGCCTATCAAGATGAATTTTAAAGTATGCATATTGGTTTTCATACATATTGGTTTTATGTGCTCTTTTAATTGGTGTTATGTGTTTAATTTCTTATTGTTTCAAACCTCAATCCATAGGAAAAGGTGTCTTAGGAATTGTATTTATTGTTGTTGTTGTCACTGAAAGCACAGTGCAGTGACATGGTGCAGGACATAAGCAAGATGTGGAAGCAGATCATCCCATATGTTGGGGTGGAATACTTGGGGCCTTTCAAATATCTGTGACTACAACTCCCATAAGAACTATCCAGAACAGCTAATAACAAGGAATGGTGGGAACTGGAAGTTTGATAACAGCTGATAGGTGCAAGGCTGTACATCCCTGCTTTTAACTTTTAAGAGGCCTAGGAGAACAGGAAGAGTCCCTTTTGCAATGTTATTTTGAGACACCTTTAAATTCATTCTATTTTGGCAACTCTTGTATGGAATTAGAGAGCTTGAAGCTTTCTTTCTGCAGCTCTTCAGCAGCCCACAGTATTGCAGATTTGAAGCAAGAGTGGGCAGAATGTAGATTAGGGTCTGCTGGTAGAACTTGAGAAGATTTGCAGATCAGCAAGGGTTCCTGATTCCTAATTTTCAAACAATAGCAACAACCCAAAAGCTGTGTTGCCCATGAAGTCCCCTTCTTGTGTGTGTGGGGGGGGGGGGCAAAGTTTAACATTTCTGTACCTTGGGAAATCAGTGGATCTCATCTGATTGGATACCTGTGTGCTTATTTGCCAATAGAAAATAAATTTCCATGCATGTAATGCAACATGTTTCATCCTCCTCCTGACAAGTGGTTAAGGAAGCTTTTAAGGAGGTGGCAGAGGTGTGGCAGCAGAGGAAAAAAATGGCTGCAAGTGTTGCAATAACCAAGGAATGGCAGCAAAACCTGTACCGATTAGGAGATAAAGTTGTCCTGATGCCTTCCAACCTGTTTGGGAGCTGGCAGGACAGCTTCATCTCTTGATGCAGATCCTCCCACACCATGCAGATCCTCCCACACCACTACACTCAGGTCAAAAACATGGTTTTATGCTTGAGTAAGTCACCAACAGGATCTCCACCATACTTTTTCATGGGAGCCACCAACTAGCATTGGTCCCAAGTTGAGAGGCTCCATATTCTACATCACCAATTTAGTTATGAAGATATAACTCAATATTATCTCCTGACCCACCCACTCCCAACCTACCAGGCTGTAGCCACACTGAGGGAAAAGGCTTGTTCAGCTGGTGATCAAGGCGGAATACAGGATGACATTTCTAACCCCCTCCTGCCAACAACTGAGGCTGCAACAAGGAATTGTGACAGGGCTCTAGTTTCAGATTGTCACAGCCTTGATCACTGTTGGGGATGGTGGAAATGTCATCTTCTTGTGCCTTGATGATCGGCCAAACATATCTCCATCTCTCAATGTGGCTGTTGTCTGGAAAAATAGGTTTGGAAGAGCATTTACAATTGTGGCAATAGTGCCACAATCATGACTATGTAGTAGTGTAAGTGAAAACAAAAGTCATGGATCTAGGCTGTAGGTCCGTAATTGCAACACAGAATGCCAGCCCATGTCTATAACTTTGGTTAACTCAGCCTTCACATCTGCACTGTATGAGCCAAGGAAAAGCCTTATTTACAATGCAAACATGGAAAGCAGGAGCTGGGGGAGGATCTGCCACATCCATCAGGTATGAGGTGGTAGAAAGAACTTGCTTTTCATAGGACTGCAGTCTGGACTGCTAAATGGTTGTTTCTGTTGTGTGCCTTCAAGTCATTTCTGCCCTATCATGGGTTTTCTTGGCAAGATTTTGTTCAGAGGAGATTTGCCATTGCCTTCCTTGGAGGCTGAGAGAATGAAACTGGCGCCAAAGTCACCCTGTGGGTTTTCTGGCTGAGCAGGGAATTGAATCCTGGTCTCCAGAGTCATAATCCAAACTCAAACAACTACACCATGCTGGCTCTCTATATTAAATATTCTTACTCTCTACACTAAATATGCTGCTAAATACTTCTTTAAAAAAATGGAAGATGATAAATTAAGACATTTCTCAGGCCAAACAATGGTTTTATTTCAGTTTCTCCATGACATTTTAGCCATCAAAAAATAAACTCTAACACATATGGATGGAAGACTTTCTACAAGTGTTACTAAGTGGGGATTTCTCGGTTGACTCCAGGGTTTTGATTGGAGCATCTCATGGTTGTTTTTCCTCTCTTTTTTGTATTATTCATCCAATAAGTTAGGAAGAAGCATGGGGGGGGGTTTGGGATGTTAAAGTGCTTTTCATTTCTGAGCAGGGATGAGGTCGTCAATGGATTGCCCCTTCTCAAGGCATTTCTCCATTTCGATCAGCAATTTCACCCCGTCAACCACCATCTGTACCAGCTCCACTTCGGAGAATCCAAGACGGTCGGCATTCGAGACATCAAACACTCCTCCCACTGCAGCAGTGTCCACACCACCTAAAAAACCACAAAGAAATTAAGGACAGGAATCAGATTGAGAGGCAGGGGCTTCCATTCATTCCTATTATGTTTATTAATATTGTTGTTGTGTGTCTTCAAGGTATTTTCCAATTTATGACAACCCTAAGGTGAACCTATCATGGAGTTTTCTTGGCAAGTTTCTTAAAAGGGGTTTTGCCATTGCCACCCTCTGAGGCTGAGATAGTATAACTTGCCCAAGGTCACCCAGTGGGTTTACATGGCCAATCTGGGATTCAAACCCAGGTCTCCAGAGTCCTAGCTCAATGCTCAAACCACTATGCCCCACTAGGTCTCTTATGTTTATTTATATCCTGCCTTTTCCCCAGTTCAGGACTCAAAGAGGCACATAACAGTAAAAACATAGCTACATATTAGCATATAAATGTTTTAAAAAATAAGCTATAAAAAAACCTGTTAAAAACAAACCATCAACAAGAAAATAATAAAGAAAACATCCAGCTAGGAGTAGGATATCCAGGCGGTGGTGTCAGTAGGGTTGGCGTCACCTGGAGTGGTAATTCAGTGTCACTCTCCCCCCATTAACCCCCTCCCATACCAGAACATGCAGAATCCTTATTAATGTTTTTGTACTAATGTTACTCATAAATCGTAATTCCCATATATCACTGAATGTAATGGCAATAGTTATGACATAAACAACTAGCAAAATTAAAATGATACCTTTATATTACAATATCATATGCACAGCCTAAATATATTTACCTGTACATAGTTTCATGTGGTTAAAGTGAAAATTTATCCCCATTCAGTTACCATGTTTCTAGTGGTCTTCTTCAGCCAGTGGAATGGCATTACTAGCTTGCTGAATTTATACCACTGTACCATACTGATCACACCTGGTTTGGAAACCAAAGCCGCGTAGGGCCTGTTTAGTACTTAGGATGGGAGACCACCAAGTGATACAACATAAGTATCAATGCATAGAGGAAGCTGCCTGATATCTGCATAAGTCACAGTTCTGGCCTTCCTACCTCTTCATCGGACCACATAAAAGCAGGTAATTGTACCATGTTTATTGCAAGCAGCTCATTCGTGAAACCTCTGTGAAGCCTGCCTGCATGTCCTCTTAAATCCCTGCTGGAGGTTGTCCTCCTTTCAACCAGGTTTGAGTAAAAAGCAGGAGATGGTGGCTGGACAACCAGTATGGTGGAATGGTGCAACTAATGTCTGACTGAGCATGAAAATTCCCTTTGTGACCTTGGGACAGTCACAGCCATTGCCAATTTGTACTACTTTGTAGGGTGGTTGTGAGATAAAAGTGAGCAGAAAGAGAGCCAGGTACATCACCTTGAGCTCACTGAATGAAAGGCAGGACATAAAAGGAACTAATCAAGTGTTGCTGTTTTTTTAGTTCTTACATTCTGGAAATGAATTGGCATACTTTAGCTATCAGGTGTTCAGCAACTCCAAGTCAGGTAAATTCATGCCTTCTAGCACTTCCTGCACCAAATGAAACAAAACCTAAAATAGACTTTGTCTCCATGGCAATTTGCGACATTGGCCTGAGGAATTCACCTCTTCTGTTTAGAGGATTATTTGCAAACAGTGGCTCAACCTGGATAGTGATTTAAATAGCTGAGTGTTATCTTGATAAACATCCAGTGAAATTCACTATCCATTTTTAAAAAGTTTGGCCACTGTGGCCAAACTGCCTCAGAAAATGTATGTGTGTGTGTCTGTATGTTTGTTCAAGTCACTTGTCGACTTATGGTGACCCTATGAATTTCACAGGGTTTTCTTAAGCACAGTATACTCACAGGTGATATTGCCAGTTCCTCCCTCTGAAATGTAGCCTACAGCACTTGGTATTCATTGGTGGTTTCCCATTCAAGCACTAACCAGAGCTGATCCTGCTTAGATTCCATGATCAGACCAAAACTGGTGTTACTGTCTGAGTAGCAATTATTTCTTGAATGTTATCTGAGCCAGCTGCTACAGAGGTGTTGTTGTTGCATGCCTTCAAGTTGTTTCCAACTTTTAGGGACCCTAAGACAAACCTATCATGGGGTTATTTGTTCCATTGCCTTCCCCTGAGGCTGAGAGCATGTAACTTGCCCAAGGTGGGTTTCATAGCCGAGTGGGGAATTGAACCCTGGTCTCCAGAGTCAAACCACTACACCACGCTGGCTATGAAGGTACTAAAGGTAAATAATAATAATAATAATAATAATAATAATAATAATAATAATAATAAAATTTATTTATACCCCGCCCATTGGTAATCCAATCCGGGCGGCTTACAATTAAAACATACCATTCAATAAAACATACAATATGAACACAGCCCTCCCCCCCATAAAACAGGATTAAATCAGAACAGTGTAAAAACAAAATACAATTAAAACATAGAGCCATCCAGCCTAATCCAGTGATTCCAAGCCTAGCATAGCGATCCTCCCATCACTTGATGGGGCCACGTGAGGATCGTATATTGGGTGGGTGTTAGTCTGAGGCAGGAAGGACTGATCTAGTATACCTAGTCCGGAAAGGTCTAGTCCGGAAAGGCCTGCCGGAAGACATCCGTCTTGACAGCCTTTTTGAAGCTGTCTAAAGATGTTAACAGACGGATCTCGTCCGGCAGACCGTTCCAGAGCTTAGGGGCAACAACAGAGAACGCCCCCCAGGAGGTAGCCACCAGCCTCGATTTC